TTTATATAATTTATTACAATAAAGCAAAATCACAAAAATTTACACAAACGTTCAATTTTCATTGATTAATTTTTATTTATTTTTTTTTAAATTCAATTTTTCTTATATTTCATATTTAAAGAATATAAAAAAAAAAAAAAAAAAAAAAATTTCCTCTCATTTTTTCAAATTTATTATGAAAAAACAGTACCTCGGCGATGAGTTTATTATATGAATGCATTAATACGGTGATTGCGGTATTAATAAGCATTAGCAGTGGTATGCCAAACCATAGTGCCTCTATACAACTTTGTGTACAAAAGCTACGTATTCTGATTGAGGATTCCGATCAGAACTGTAAGTTCTTCTTATATTCTTATATTCTGCTTATACTGTTTGCTTATATGAATTTGTTTTTTTTTTTTTTTTTTTTTTAGTAAAATATTTGGGTCTTTTGGCCATGTCAAAAATCTTGAAAACGCATCCGAAAAGTGTGCAGGCCCACAAGGACTTAATATTGGCTTGTTTGGATGATAAAGACGAGTCGATACGTTTACGTGCTTTAGACTTACTATACGGCATGGTCTCTAAAAAGAATCTCATGGAAATTGTTAAGCGTCTATTGGGTCATATGGAGCGTGCGGAAGGTTCCGCTTATCGCGATGAATTATTATATAAAGTGATTGAAATATGCTCCCAAAGTTCATATTTATTTGTTACGAATTTTGAATGGTATTTAACGGTATTAGTGGAACTAATACAATTGGAAGCTGGTTCCAAGCATGGTAACTTATTATTATGCATTAATTATTTATTTTTATTTTTTTTATTTCATTTTTTTAAGGACGTATAATTGCTGAGCAATTATTAGATGTCGCCATTCGAGTGCCTATAGTACGACAATTTGCCGTCAATGAAATGGCCAACCTTTTGGACACATTTATTGTTTCATCGCAAAGTAACTCAATGTATGAAGTACTTTATGCGGCCGCCTGGATAGTGGGAGAATTTTCAAAGTATTTAACTCCTAATAAGAGGCTGTAGAGAAATAATTCGTTATAACTTTTAAATTTTTATGTCCATCAGTGAATTGGAGAATGTCGAGCCCACTTTAAATGTATTATTGAAGCCACGTCAAGTTCCTGGCCATATACAGGGTGTTTTCGTGCAAAATGTCATGAAATTATTTACCCGCTTAGCCACCACTTACATGGAAAATGGGGACGTCAATGGTTTGATCACAGTAAGTAAAAAAAAAAAATCATTGCATATATATGCATATCATAAGAAAATTTCTTGGAAATCGTCGTTCATTCCTCCTTTCTGCTCGATTTCAAATGTCAACTTTCCGCAAATATTAGATTCTACCATTATATAATAGGTGTACAAATATATTTATTACAAAGCCTAGTAATCGATATATGTGCCCATCATTGTCTATAGTTTTTTTCCATTTACTTATGGATGCCCCCGCGGCGAAAACTAGTGGTTTTAGAGGCGAAATAATCATTGACCCATTTCTCCGCCCATCTTCGACTTCGATTAAACGTTAATCTGCTCAATATGACCGCATCGGCCTGGATAAGTGAGAATGGGAAGTGGTTAGATCTGGAGTATACCGTACAGAGTGAGGTAAAAGTTTCTAGCCAAAGTTCAAAATTCCTTCTTGAGTTGCTTTTGATGGCGACGCACGGACGGGCGGATATCAATTTTCATCATTTTCAGGATTTTATAATTTTATGCCCAAAATCTCGTAAACTGCTTTTTAACTCTTTTTTTTTAAAGCTTAATGCATTTTCATTCAATCGTCTTCGCAACTTTAGCTGCATTTTTTTCCAAATTAATTCAGTTAAAAGCACAGAAAGCACAGAAAGCACATCAGACCCGCAAATGATATCGCTCTCCTTAAACTTTAATCCACACTAAACGTTTGCGCTTGCAAACAACTCAAAACTTACCTCATTCCAAACATTAATATGTAAATTATTTACGGCTCATATTTCGAGAAAATTGAACGCGTCATATACGTTTTATGAAGTAATTGATTTCTATACCTAATAAGTTCAACAATAGGTTTTTTTTGATTTAAAGTCAAATGTTACTAAGTAAGTTTTATGATGTTCCTTAAAGCTGTTGTTCAAGTCAGTCACTGTAAAGAACTATCATTGCAAATATGTTACTCTTATGCATTTGAAAGCCTTTTTGAATCATTGTTATATCCCCCTGCGACATACACAGGTTTTAGTAACATTTCACAACAGGCACTAAGAGAATTGGCTTCTTTTTTTTTTCGAAGAACAAGTATTATATCTTATGCACTTCAAGTTGGGTTGTATGTGTGAATCGAATTGAATTTACTTTACAAATGTTAAAAGTAAGCATTATATCTATGAAAATGTTAGTTAGTTCAAGGATAGAAGAGCGAGTGTAACCGTAGCTGGCCTAGGCTGGCAGAGGCATAGATAGAGCATAGATGAGATTTGCATATAACATTTACTGCGCAACTATCATCAGTTTTCCAATTATAGAAAGCGTTTTCATCTTTTTTTTTTTTTTTTTTTTTTTTTTTTTTTTTAACTTAAGTAAAACTCATCTATTTAATAATATGCCGTCATAACGTATGTAATAAATGTTCTTGTTTATAGCTTTGTGATCAAGTGTTAGAAAAATTGCAAAGTTTTAATAGTTCCAATGATATCGAAGTACAAGAACGTGCCCATTCTGCTTGCATACTTTTGGAAATGTTACGGGCACAATTTGATGCATCATCATCATCATCTTCGAATTATACTTGCGTAGAGATTATTGATTCTGAAGGTGCCGCGGAAGCCAAACAATTGAATCATATTTCAACGATGGCTATTGAGATTGTGCAAGAGATGGCTCTTCTATTCGCTGGCGAACTTATACCTGTTGCTCCCAAAGCGCAGCGTAAAGTTCCTTTACCTGATGGTTTAGATTTGGATGAATGGATCAATCCACCGCCAGAAGATGAGAGCAGCAGTTCATCGCAGGACGAGAAGGAGGAGCTTTTTGTCAGTTCTCTCGCTGCTTATGAAGAGGAAGAAACGAAACGAAGAAAAAGCGAAGAAATGTCGCCCGAACAAATCGAACGGCAGCGCATGCAACGTTTAATTGAACAATCGAATAATCCGCATTATTTAAAATCATTTCCCTCAATGCCAGAAGTGGGTCAAAATGCGAGACCCGCAAGTAGTAATAACTCCCAGCATAACGCCGATCAATACGATAATTTAGATGATATACCTATAACAGAACTATCTTTAGATATTCCCCTTAAAGTGGGAGGTAAGTAGATATATATATATATATATAGTATTGCTTGCTCGCTGACGAAGTAATTTATGAATGAAATCAACATTTTAGCGACTAAACGTTCGGATCAATACTTAATGCAGGAGAAAGCTAATGCAAAGGAAAAGAAAAAGCATAAGAAGTCAAAAAAAAGTAAAAAATCAAAAACTAAAACTAATCACAATTCCAGTACGGAATCCGAAGAGGGTAAATATAATGGTTTCTTTCCTAGTGAGACTTTTAAAAAAATATCTTAAGTTTGATAATTTGTAGAACCAACACCGTTACATGTAGTTAATACCACTCTAGATATGCCCGAAGGTGTAGCTCTCTCAGACGGTGAAGAAAAAGATAAGCAATTTGATCCAGATGATCCTCACAGAGCTTTGGACATTGAATTGGACATGTAAGCTAATCATTTATGTACATCTAAATGACTTAAATAATTTAAAACAAACATGCCATCTCATAATTGCAGACCTGATTTAGAACTTCCGAAATATCGTTCTTCAAAATCGCAAAAGAAATATAACCCTGATGCCTTGGAAAATGTCCCAAAAAGCCAAACTTCAATGGATTCTGCGCATAAAAAGGAAAAGAAAAAAAACAAAGACAAAGAGAGTGAGAGGGAGAGGGAGAGAGTGAAAGAGAAAGAGAAACATAGAAAATCAAGCTCTAAAAAACTACAAATAACTGAGGAAATAAATGATAGTGCTAATCTTTTGGGCATCTCTTTGGAAGAATTGCAAATTCCAAGTGACAGTACCGTTATTGAAAATGAAGAAACCGTACGGCAAGCAAAAGCAAAATTACACAAGAAGTCGCACAAGTCTAATAAGGATTTGAAAGACGTGGATGTGGTAACTAGCACTAAAAAGAAAAAGAGCAAAACAACCGAAAAACATGACAATCGTCATCACAGAGATAAGAAAAAATCTCATAAATCGTCTAATCAAGATTATGAAGAAGCTGTGGGTATATCTACACCCAGTAAAGAAATATTTTAAGAGAATTTTTAATATTCTTTTTAATTCTTCTACGATTTTTTTTTTTTTTTTTTTTTTTTTTTTTTTGTTTTTTTTTTTGTTTTCTTTTTCTTATTATAATACTTAAAATAAAATTAGAGATAAAAATTGAAGAACTCTACGTTATAAAATGTCCAAGAAAGAAGATATAGTCGAAATGGAGACGCATTATAAATATGACCTAAACATATTAGACTTAATACCATTATGCAAGGTAATTATTAAAATTCGAATAAAAAATTTTAGGTGCTTCATTCCCGCTGCTGCCTAGAATAAATAAAAAAAAACTTTATGAATTTGGTCTTTCCGAGTCCGGAGCTCTAGATTCAATGCAAATAGACTATCCAAACAAAAGACTGTGCTTTAGGTACAATAACCTCAACTTATTCATGTAAATTAGATTTTTACTAAAGCGTATGGTAGGTCTCTGAAGGTCATACACACTTTCGATGTACCAGCTAGCTTTCATCATTTAAAAATTTTCTTTCCATTATAGTAACAGTTGAAAATGATTCAAACGATATCAAAATTTAACACTTGTAACATCCAGTCTACGAACTTGAAAGTCGAATGGTGGCAATTTCTATTCATAAAAACACATTTTTCTATTCTGTTTTATTATTTTATTCTATTTATAACAACAACTCGCTCTCTCTCTCTCTCTCTCTCTCTCTCTCTCTCTCTCTCTCTCTCTC